AGAAACCACAATAATAAGAGTTTCAAAGCTAGCAAAAATTGCAAAAAAAAAATCAAACTTCAAAAAATTGTCATCAAGATTTCAAAATTTTTAATTAGAATATTTAGAAAATTTTCGGGTATGCAGTTCTGTAGCCCATTCTATAGTAGTCTAAGAAAGTGCAAGTCTAGAGTCGTTAAAAATTACCGTAGATTTTTTAGATTTTTTTTTTTTGTGGAGGGTTGGCGCATTTTCTGCCATATAACATTAGGGTAAGAACATTGAAGCTTTGCTCGATGCTAGCTCTTCGCTTTGCTCGCCGCTCCACTATGTTTTGACCCTTAGACTTCAATATTGAAAGAGCTACATAACAGCATAACCGTAAATTTTCTAAATATTCTGATTAAAAATTTGAACATTTCGATGACAATTTTTTGAAGTTTGATTAATGTTTTTTGCGATTTATGTAGCTTTGAAACTTTTATTATTGTGGTTCCTGTTACAGATTCAATTTTATTTTGAATCAAAATTATTAAAAATAAAAAAATAAACATAATTTGCAAACGATATCATTTTGAATTTCGTTTCTACTTAGTTGAACGCAGGTGTATGTATATATATAAATATGCATTCGGACCATTGTAATAACTTTTAAAGCGTGGAAGCGAAAATTTAAAAATTTTATAGACATATTTTTGGAGTTGTCCTGTTACCTTTCTGTGATATTCTTGCCAGTGTTAATACATTGTACCTACATGGAAAGCGGAAATTCTAACCCATTACATTTCACACATATGTATGTATGTACCTATTTTATGTAAATGTATATATACACTTTCAAATAGGTAAATACGTACATATATATATACTACAAAAAATATGTACATACATACCTACATACATATTATGTATGTATCACTCGTTATTTCTTTATCATTCCTTGCATCTACATATATACATATGTATGTATATACATAAATGTAGAGAACAAAGGCATCCCGGTCGAATGCGGTGAGTGCCAGGCCCTCGCCACATCATACACATGTGTTTCGCTAAAATTTAAGTTTTATCAGCTGTATATTTCAAGTTTTATATTCGATTTTTTTTTTTATTGACTTTGCAAGCCTTTTGAGTTTTCATTTGGTTGGAATAATGCAGCGACATATCCACGCCCACCCCCTTTGAATTTTCATTAATATCCGCACACCTAACCAGCTTAATGCGTTCACGCCCATGCATTTCATGGTCATAAAATAAAGGATTCATCTCAGATTATGACACCATTTTTCACATTCCTGTCCATGCAAAACTTTTCCATTTTTTTTATCTGATGTATGAGTTGATAAACTTACCTAAATTTCACCTTTTTTGATCAACCAGAAAATTGCGGCGCTGCAACCTTTATGTTTCCGTCCGGTCTCTTTCACTTCGGTTTTGCGTCCGAAATTCTCAATTTTCAAGAAAAATTACTTCTAACAATGTACAAATAATTTTCGAAAAATTATAGCTGGAAATCTTTCAGCAGTATTAGCAGATTGCTTTTTTCCTATCCATTAGCAGCTCTGTGCTCCAAATCCACAACGACATCAGTCCGTTTTGCAAATTTTTCTCGTTTCTTGCCGTTTTTTGTTTTACGAAATGACTGTTCAGAGAATGATAGGGAAAGGGGAAAGAATTGATGTATGCACTGTCAAAAACAAATCACCATATTAAGGTGCCGTCACACACCCATGAACGAAAGACACAAGATCACGTAAGAACAAGACAGTGGAAAAAGTCGATTTTTTTAGCGGGTTCTACGCCATCTTGTTTCACTGGAAAACGGGCGAAAAGTAAACAAAGCAAAGAAAACAACGAAAACCAAAATTAGCCAAAATTATTGTCAGCCACTTTAAACGCACAATTTAGGTAAAATGATGCAACAAAATGCTTTAGAATGTGTTGCCATGTTGAATTAACTATTCTTTACTTGAATAAAAGTGTAAAATAGTGGTGCTTGTGATGTAAACAAACGCTCAGCTGACGAACCCGCTTTCGCAAACTTTTTTCTCAAAACCAGTTACAAATACAACGTCGCGTTCTTACGTGATCTTGTATTTTTGGTTCATGTCACACACCCGGGCAAAGCCAGTGTTGCAAGAAGTTAAATTTATCTTCAAAATGAAGATATCTTTCATAAATAATCAGAAAAAGCTTCACATGAAGATAATTAAAACCATGATAAAAATATAGTAAGGTAAAACCGCTGAGAGTCACTTTTAAAATTCTTGACGTTTCCAAACAATTTAATTTTTAAATTTACTCACAAACGCACACACACATTTTCATTTTCAATCTCAAGCAACAACAATTTCGAACAATTTAAATTTTTTGTTTTCATGATTAAAACCATGATAAAAGCATAGTAAGGTAAAACCGTTCACTCTATGTATCGACCATGATTTATTTTTTTGAAGTTTGTCAACATTTTAAAATCGTATAAAATTGAGAGAAAAAAAGGAATTGTTCAAAGTTGTTGTTGTTTAAGATTGAAAATGAGAATGTGTGTGGGAGTTTATGTGTAAAATTTTAAAATTAAATTACTTGCAAACGTCAGGAATTTAAAAAATTCCTCTCAGCGGTTCTTCCTTCCTATTTTTTTTTATCATGGTAAAGAACCAAAAACTTGAATTCAACAGAGTTGAAGCGTGTAAAAACAAATGGAAAACACAAAAGAGAGTGGAGCAGGAATTGCTTTCATATCACCGTTATGGTAGTAGTGCACTTTACGGGTACCAGGTTAAAATGGACGGAACAAATCGAGAGTGGTATCAATCGACGCATTTTAACGCGAACAATAGTTGCGTTTTTTTACTCATTTCCAGTAAAATCCAGTAAAAGTTTTTACGAATTTTCATGTTTTGGCATTTTCGTACGCAAAAACTTGCAAAGTAGGGGAAATTGAGAGAGCGAAAAATGACAGCTGAACTTGCAAGTTTTTACTGGATTTTACTGGATAAATTTTTACTTGTAAGAATTTGCCAGTACGAAAAACAGCTGATCGCATGTTGCTGGATGAAATTTAAACTAATAAGGAAACTGTTTGTTGCTTTTTATTGTTGAATTTCACAAAATAAACCTATTTAAATACAAAATATATTGTTTCATAAGGAATTTGCTGCGAATAAACAACCAATTTATCAGCTGTTCATGAAACTTGCAAATATTACTGGAAAAGCGTTCGCGTACTTTTTTGCAAATTTTTTCTATGAGAGCGAATTCTTAGAAATAAAGTTACTGGAGAGTTACTGGCAAGTTACTGGATAATTTTTAAAAAAACACAACTAATAACAGTCCGGGGGGGAGGGGGGTGTGAATTAAGATTTTTAATTATTTTAAGATTTACTCGCTAAAAACATTGCACTTTGCACCTTTTGCACCATGTTTTGATGAATTTGATGCAAATAAATGGAGTAAATGAAAGTTGTTCTCTGCAAAAGGTGTTCTGCCCTCATTCTTTGGCAACACAGAAAGGCGAATCATAATGCCTGAGGGTTATAATCGCTAAGTGCGGCCGAAGTTCGCCTGCGGAAGAATGAGTTGGACGCCTGGTTCCGCTAAAGTGCACTTTTACCACCGTTTTTTCACATTTTATTAATTAATTCTTTTTAAATCATGTATTTATAGAATTTACATCAATCGCACATTTTCTAATTCTCTCGCTGTTCGCAGTATTCTTCTACTTGACGTTTCTACGTCTTTCTTCGAACATACTGCTATTTTCTCGTTGATCGCTTCGTATTGCCGCAGTATTCGCCACAATATAATCATGATTGCCAATGATTTCGTAAGTATGATAACGACCAGCGTTGCCATTTTAGCCGTTTTCCGGCTAGATTTAGCCGGTTTTGATAGCAACTAGCCGGAGAAAATTCGATCTAGCCGGCAGCCGATTTGTTAGCCGGTTTGTAAAAAAAAGTTAGCCGTTTTTAGCCGATTTTACTATTTGCCTAATTTTCAGGTGCAAAAAGTAAACAAGTTGTTCGAAAGCAATAATGCAGACCCAATGAAGATTTTTAATGAACTCAATGTTTTACTTTCGCATCTATGCTCCCTAGTGGTTATTAGCGCGGACACATTTGATCCTATATGCTCCCCGTTGGAACCATACCTTGCTCCATTTCCTCAGTTTTAGCACAGTTTTGAAGAGTATTTAAAAACAAAAGTAAGCACAAATGCTTTTGACCACGAAGCCGAGAAAATAATTCGAGAAAATGGTCGCTATTTTATTATCACTTTAATAAAGGAATTACGCCAACGCCTCCCTACAAATATTGCCACACTAAAAAAATTGACTTTTTTCGGTTGGAAATGCATTAAAAGTAATTAAATCAAAAGTATTTGTTCAACTACAGCAACAAAACCACAAATATAATTCCGACGAAATAACATCCATAGAGATGCAATGGCAACGGTTAACGTTACATACCTGGAGTAATTTAGACTCAACTGTAAAATTTTGGGCCGAAGTTTATCAATTTCGAAATGCCCTAGGAGAAAACCCTTTTGCTGACCTTTGCAACCTAGTTTTTAGTTTTCTTGTTTTGCCTATAAGTAATGCAGAAGTAGACCGAATATTTAGTTCAATGAATATAATAAAAACTAAGCAAAGAAATCCAATGTGCGTTAAAACGTTAAACGCTATTTTATATATAAGATACGGTTTAAAACGTGAAGAAAAATGCTGCCATAATTTTACTGTAGATGACGATCTCTTAAAATTAATGAATTCAGGTGATATATACAATAGTGATTCATTTGATGATGAGGAATATACACTCGATATAAATTAATGGTGTTAACTAGTCTTTCGTTTCTTGCGATTTATTTAAATAAAGCATGTGAATTTTCACTAAAACATTTTAGCCGTTTTTAGCCGCTTTTTTTTGCCAATCTAGCCGGTCGGCCCAAAAACTTCTGGCAACACTGATAACGACTACAGTACACTGTGTTATATCGATACAAAACTAGAATATCTAAAAAATGGCAAAACAATTTTAACATCTATTGCCTTGCACGTGCATATGCGGAGGTTTTTATTTCTTTAAACACACAGGAATAATTTTATTTTAAACCGATATGCCAGAGGAAGATGGATTGGACAAGAAAAAATCGCATCGCGCTCGACAGGCTGGCGTTAAGGCCGTAAAGAAAAAACTAAAGGTCAAAAAAGATTCAGGGAACACCAAAGAGCCCAACCTCACTGCGAGGCAGAGGAATCCGAAGGCATTTGCTATTAATTCTGCCCAGAGAGCAGAGCGAAACTTTCGTCGTAAAGAAGACATAACTGCGAAAAAGCAACATATTCCCGTTGTGGACCAGACGCCAGACGAACCCCCTCCGGTGCTTATAGCAGTGGTGGGCCCACCAAAAGTAGGTAAAACAACGTTAATCAACAACTTAATAAAGAATTTTACGCGCACAAATGTGACCGATATCCGGGGTCCCATCACGATTGTTACCTCGAAAAAACGACGCATAACTCTTTTGGAATGCAACAATGATATAAATTCAATGATTGATATTGCCAAATGCGCAGATTTAGTGTTGTTATTGTGTGATGCTAGTTACGGGTTTGAAATGGAGATCTTCGAATTCCTGAATATTTGTCAAGTACATGGAATGCCAAAAATTATGGGTGTGCTCACACATTTAGATATGATCAAGAATCCCAAGCAATTAAGGAAACGGAAAAAGGAATTGAAGCATCGCTTCTGGACTGAAGTCTACGATGGTGCAAAGCTTTTCTACCTTTCTGGATTGTTGCACGGTGAATACTTGAGAAACGAGGTAAAAAATCTGGGACGCTTTATTTCAGTAATGAAGTTTCGCCCGCTGTCATGGCGGGGAGCACACAGTTATTTGCTCGTGGATCGAGTTGAAGATGTCACCAATACAGACCTGATTCGCCGCAACCCCAAATGTGACAGAGAAATAATCCTTTACGGTTATGTTCGTGGTGTACCAATGAAACAGGAACATTCTGTTCATATTGCCGGGCTGGGGGATGCAAGGATTGAAGAATTGAGTGCAATACCCGATCCATGCCCATTGCCTGGCACGGAGAAAAAGCGCAGTCTTTTGGAAAAAGAAAGGCTACTGTATGCGCCCATGTCAGGGGTTGGAGGAATTGTCTACGATAAGGACGCTGTGTATATAGAGTTACAGGGCTCGCACAGTCACAAAGAAAAAACGGCAGACGCTGCTGAGCAGGAGCAATTAGTGGGCAAATTGATAGATAAAAAACAAACTGTGGATATGCAAATTGAAGAACAGGAATTTCGACTATTCTCTGATGGTTCTGCCATAAAGTCAAAAGACTATAAAGATGACAGTGATATAGATGAGGATGAAGATAATATTGAAGATGATGAAGTAAGTACATTTACTTATGGTAAAAATGTTTACCAGATTTGACTATTTTTTAACAGACTTCACAAAGGTTATCAACTCGTCGAATTTTTGTTTTTATGTATGTTACCGCATAACTTTGGACCACGTTAACCGATTTCTATAATTCTTTTTTAATGGGAAGGTGTTACTTCACCGGTAGTCCCATATTAATTTAGTTTAAATCCGATCATCGGCTCATGAAGAAATTAACGATAATCATAAATTTGTATATGAGAATTGAAGTCTGCAAAAACATTATCAAAAATCAACGTAATTTTTTAGCAGCTTCATACATCCACTTTACTAAAATCTAATGGAATATATGTATAACTTTCATGGTACAATTATTATACATGTAGATATAACTTCATATCAAAATTTGGTAAAAATGTTTAAATTTTTTTTATGAAACTTTGCTTAATTTTCATAAATTTTCGTAATGTTTGAATTGCCTTTGCTTCTACACTTTTACAAGTAATTTTTACAACCGACTTCAATGGTCATATAAAAATTTTGGATTACCGTTAATTTATTCATGATCCAATGATCGGAACTAAGCTGAATTAGTGTGCGACCAGCCTTGAGATACCACCTTTCCGATAAAAAAAGAATAATCGAAAACGGTAACATACATACAAAAAAATAATATTCGGATGAATTGACAACCTTCCTCCGTTCTTTGTTCACCCCCTAGGTGAAAAATATGGTGTTTCTAAAATTTCTTCGTCGTTTAAAGTACAAATAACGATACGCGATTTTGTACTTTAAACGACGATAGTGGGTGTACATAGGAAGATCACTTTGTTTTATAAAATTCCTCCCTAGGATGATTCTGGCGTAGATGACGAAGACAACGTTAGCGTTAACAGTGGCGGTGAATTTGCAGATGGTGACTGGCGGGACGAAGATAGTGAGGGAGAAGCAGCTGAGAGCGACAATAACACATCTGATGATGAATATCAAAATGTCGATGAGTTAAAATCAAAACACAAGAGAAGTGTAGAGGATGAGGATGGGGATGAGGATAAGGATGAAGATAGTGACCAAGAAGAAGAGAAAATTCTAGCAAACAGTATGAGCTGGAAAGAAAATTTAGCTCAAAAAGCGCGTGAATCCTTCCTTCAGCGACATTCGGAGGCAAAGAATATTATGCGGCTAGTATATGGATGTTATACGCAAAGCGAAAGCAAAGTAAATAAATTGATCTTAAAAAAGAAAAAAAAACAATGGTTAAATTTGATTTCTGTTCTAGAAAAATAAATTCGACGGCAACAAAAATGCTGACTCTGACTCTGAAGACGAATTGGGAGGACTCTTCAAAGTAGTGGCCAAAAAGCAAAGCGATTTGCAAAAGGAAAAAGATATAAGGGATAAAATGGAGCACTGCTTCTATGAAGACTTTTCGGGTAGTACTCGTAACTGGTTGGATGAAGAAAATAAGGCCGCTTTAAAAAACTGCTTTGTTACTGGCAAATGGAAAGCGTCCGAAGATGCTGAAACATTGCTGCGCCTGGATGATTTGAGCGACGCTGAAAGTGAAGTATATGGAGACTTCGAAGATCTGGAAACTGGCGAAAAGCACATTGGGAACAGCGGCGTTGAAGAGCCGCATGATTCAAAAGAAACTAATTCTGATGTAATGGCAGAAGGTAATGCCGAAGAAAACACTCGTAAGCGCCGAATGACTAGGGTGGAGGAGGAGAATTTAACAAAAGCAGAACTAATGGCCAAAAAACTAAAACTCAAAGCTAAATTTGATGCAGAATACGACAATAAAGACGGTTCAAAAGAAGATGATGGACGCATTAAAGGGGACCATGATTATTACGAGGGTTTGAAAGCTGATGCTCAGAAGCAATCGGATTTGAACAAAAGTGAATTTGCTGCACTAGACCCGGAGTTGCGTATACAAATTGAAGGATTTCGACCAGGCCTTTATGTTCGTTTGGGTAAGATGGAAATATCTAGTTTAATAAACCGCAGGCATACAGTTTTTTAAGATAAACACTAACTCTGTCACAGTTTGCATAAAACACGTTTTATCTATAAAACGACTCATCATCTCTGAAATTGGATAAACATGACTTATGACTACGGATCATATATTTTATGCCTACTTAATGTTCTTTCTAATTGAATTTTACATATTGTTTTAGGCTTTCGAGCTATACCTGCCGAGTTCATAGAAAACTTTGATCCGAGTTACCCAGTACTGGTTGGTGGATTGAATATGACCGAAGAAAATATTGGCTATGTCAACTGCAAAGTAAAAAAACATCGATGGTACAAAAAGATTTTGAAAACTGGCGACCCACTTATAATTTCTTTGGGCTGGCGTCGTTTTCAAACCGTACCAATATATGCGAAAATAGAAGATAACTTCCGACATAGGTATCTGAAATATACACCAAATCATGTAACCTGTAGCATGACTTTCTGGGGCCCAATCACTCCACAAAATACTGGTTTCTTAGCTTTACAAACAGTACGCCACGATCTAGAAGAAATGAAGAGACTCGGCTTTCGAATTGCCGCCACAGGTAGCGTCAGTGAAATGGATAAATCAGCGCAAATAATGAAAAAGCTAAAGTTGGTGGGCCAACCATTTAAAATATATAAGAAAACGGCTTTCATTAAAGGAATGTTCAATACTGGTCTTGAAGTGGCGAAATTCGAGGGAGCTAAGATAAAAACTGTTTCTGGAATACGCGGTCAAATCAAGAAGGCACACCACGAACCAGAGGGTTCATTCCGTGCAACGTTCGAAGACAAGATTCTCTTGAGCGATATTGTCTTCTGCAGAACGTGGTTCCGAGTGGATGTGTCGCGGTTCTATACACCCATCACCTCGCTTTTGCTGCCTGCAGACCAGAAGTCGCAGTGGCAAGGCATGAAGACGTTGGGTCAGCTGAAGCGCGAACGCAATATTCATAATCAAGCGCAACCAGATAGCCAGTACATAGAAATAAAGCGTGAACCGAAAATATTCAAACCACTTACGATACCCAAAGCTTTACAGCGAGCTTTGCCATACAAGGATAAGCCGAAACTAGGACCACTAACAGACAAAAAGACTCAGGAGTTGGAGCGCATAGCTGTGATACGCTCGCCTCATGAACAAAAGGTTGCAAAGATGATGAATATGATTGAGACCAACTACAAAGACAAGAGAAAACGGGATAAAATGGAAACCAAGATCCGCTTGAAGCAATTTCGTGCGGAAAAGCGTATTGAGGAAATGAGAAAGATGAAACGTCAAAAGGAGGTCCGAAAGAAAATCTCCCGTGCTATAAGTAAGATGCGTAAAAAGCAGGATAACTAAAAAATTTTGTGACCATTGATTACATTAGTATGTATAGGCTTTTGTAAGTACTTTGATTAGAAAAAATAAAAGCAAACAAGTTTTATTTAAATATTCATAGTATATTTGCATTGTGGCTGGGTTTCTTTATTCATTCATCTGAACGGAAAAAACTTGTTTGTTTACTTGTTCATTAGAACGTTCCTGATGATATGTTAAGGTATATTTCAAACGCATTCTGTTTATTCTGGCTGTGAAATAGGATTATCTGGAATGTATAAAGAAACGCAGCCTGTATGTACATATAAAAGCAGCAACAAAAGTTTGTGATTAAAAATCACAGACATAGATATGAACTAGGCTGTTTAGTCCTGACTCTTGTTATCGTCGATGGCTTTGAGCGCAGCAAGCAATTTATTTTTACGATTGCTAGGCAGATTCTGACCCAAGGTGATGTTACTTCGCTTTTTTGGGGTTTCATCTAATAGAACTCCACTATTGGCCTGTCGGCAAAACGTGTCCAGGAAGGCCTCTCGCTCTTTGTAGTCATGGGAGATTTGTTTGCGTATGCTGGAAATCTCTTCCTTCATGTGTGAAGTTTTCTTGGCGGTATGGCAGACCTGTTAATGTCATATGCAAAACAATTAGAATGACAAATCAAAAGTTAATATAAAGGCTGTTATTATATACACGTTAAAAACAAATTTCATGTAAAATAGTAAGGAACGAAACAACCACAATGAAATCAAAATGCTCATCAAGCTACGATATTCAAAATGCCTTCCGTTATAAATCTTTTTCGTTAATTTATATTTGAAACATAGCTCATTCTATAACAAAAACCGTACAAATCAATGTTGCAAGCTTTCTACAAAACTCAGCGAATTTTAAAAAATGGTCATCAAAATTTCAAACATTCTAATCAGATATTTTTGAGTATGCCCTACCATTGTACAGTTCCATAAGTAAAGTAAATCTTCTTACCGTTTTTCCTGGCAGGCTGTAGGTACCTAAAAGACTTGCTTTTACTTAGGAAACTGTACGATGTGCCCTACCACTGATTTTTGACAATTTTTTTCGCTGACTGTAGCACCCGTTTTCTTCCTTACAAGTACATAGAAACTAATTTTGTTCATGGATTGTATGGAAGAGAATACAAAAATCTGATAAAAAAGTTTAAAATTTTATGGTCATTCATCAAAAATTGTCTTTACACTAGAGCTCTCGATTTTGTTCGGACATTTTCAAACAGCCCGGGTATATGAGCAGCGAGTACTCGCACACTTGTTCAATGCTCATTACTCGAAAATTTTCGAGCATGAGCTCGAGCAATTCGAGCTTTTTCGAGTAATTTGAGCAATGTTTTTTTTATTATATTGACATTTTTGGTAGCAACTTTTTAAATTTTTCAAATTATTGATATATAATGCAAAGATTGTTACATTGGTATTTAATAATATAATTTATTTAACCTGAATTAGAAAGCAGCTCCTGACAAATACAATTTACAAATTTTCTTTTGTTTATGATATCGTTCAAAAACTCGAAAATTTTGAACAAACATTTGAGCAGTTGAGCAATGAACGAGTTTCGAGCGAGTATCGAGCTACTCGCATTGCTCGATACCCGGGTATCTAGAGCTCTACTTTACACCCTTTAGTCGCCGTAAAGCAAAGACCGCAATGGTTCTGGCGGTTGATTTAACGGTTGTTTGACTGTGATCCCTTGAGTCTCCAAATCACTTAACCACCTTGCGGCTCTTTTCTTGCAATAGTATTGCCCCTACCGTTACCAATATATACATATCTCGTTGATGACGCAAATCGGATCCTAAATACGATTTTTAGTAATAACTCGACTTCAGCGCCACCTGGCGAGCAATTTTCGTCGAAATATTTCCCTTCGTGTTACCAATACATATTTGGAATATTAGCAAGATCAGGTCATACATGCGATTTAAGTATAAACTCGACTCCAGCGCCACCTGGCTTTAAGCTATTTATATATACAATTTAATGAAAATCGGACCTGCCTTTCGCGAGATTACCTGTTACAAAAATAACTTAATAGTAAAAAACTAATATGTTTAAAGCAAGCTTTCATAAATACTGGTTTACAAATATAGCGACTTCTGCGCCACCTATCGGAAAATTGTTTAGTAGAGTTTTTCTTTTTCATGTAGTTAATATACTTCCAAAATATGAACCAAATCGAACTGAAACTACGGGTTTTCAAATATCTCGACTCCTGCGCCACCTATCGGATTAACTTGACTTTCGCATTGCATTGTCGTCGGATTCTGAACCGACTTTGAAGTTTCAAGTCTCTAGCTCATCGGGAAGTTGATAAAAAATTGATTGCAGGATTTGCCCCTAACAAACATACTTACATATATACATACATACATACATACACTAGGGAGGTCATTAAATGTAGAAAGCAAATCTTTACATCAGATTTCCTGAGCCTCAACCCCTTAGTCGTTGCTACTATAGTCGAAGATATCACATATAAATTTTGGTCCCGATTGGAGACGGTTAAGGCCAGAGACCATAACGATTATAAGAAATAAAATTAAATATTGCTCTATAATTATTAGTGAACAATGGAAAAGTTTCTTTCGTCTCGCGGGACGATTATTTTAAAATGTAAATTATTTTCGTCATCTCATAATAATTATGTGGGACTTTTATTTTTTTCGTCTCATGGGACGTTTATTTTTCAAGACGGAAATGACTTACGCCTTCTCCAAATTATGGGAGTTTTATTGAATGAACTTCTTAATTGAGTTCGGAGATTCGACGCGTTAAATATTTAATGCCACGATTGTTCATTCATGTCATCAAATCTGTATCGTTCGTTCGATTTTCAAAAATGTGGTGTCAAAATAAAGGGTTGCCAGATGTTGGCAAATTAAATTCCAATAATCGAACTCGCAGCTATTTGCGTTTAATTTCGTGAAATCGGCAGTACATGTACCCATTCTATTAAGAGAAAACGTGGGACGTAAATTACTGTCGTCTTGAAACAAACGTTACGAGAGACGAGAAAAATAAAAGTCGCATATAATTATTATGAAAATACGTAAATCATTTCCGTCTTAAAATAAATGTCCCACGAAACGAAAAAAAATGAAAGTCCCACATAATTATTATGAGAAGACGTAAATAATATTCGTCTTGAAATAAACGATATATAGATATTTCTCGTAAATAATAACTATACAAAGAGGAAAAAATTTCTCTTAAAACAAGGCGACGTTTTTGATCTCAAATATTAGATTTAAAAATTTAAAATTAACTTTTTTTCTTCCAATACCCAATCGATACTCCTGTAGTCGCAGATATCACATATAAATTTTGGTCCCGATTGGAGACGGTTAAGGAGTGTCGCACGGGGTTAAAAATTCAGATTACCCTATGAAGATGTCTTGATCGACTCCAGTCGGGACCAAAATTCATATGTGATATCTTCGACTATGGTAGTATCGATTTTGGGTATTAGAAAAAAAATAAATAAACTGTACTGTACTTTGCCCCCTGCTCGAGAGGCCTGCTCTATGGTTAGCTGGTGAGACTAGATTTCGAGAACTATTTCCAGCGTTGTCGTTGGACATGAGAGCAATGCTCCATGGCTAGAGTAGTGATTGAGAGACTACCTGTTCATAGGTAACTACATATATCGCTACCTTTATATAGAATGGACCTATCCCACAAAGCCGTAACTAACTAAAAATCCAAAATTCACTTTTTGATTTATTATGATGCATTTATTCGAATTCTAAGTCCCCACATCGTTTTATGCAATAAAAAATTTAGTTAGTTACGCTTTGTTTGCATTTCAGCGAGGATGTGAGATAGGACCTCTCTATAATATGTATGTACGTCGTTTGTACTATCATGGTGTACAGTAGACTGACCATAAAAAAATAAAAGTGCTTATTTTTTGACGCTCCACACGAGACCTCTAAATGTTAATATTTTTTCACCAACTTTTCAGTAGTTTTTTGCCATAATAAAAGCTAAAAAGTCAAGAGCGTCAAAAAAATAAAGCACTTTTATTTTTTATGGTCACCATGATAGTACAAACTTATCTCACATCTTCGCTGAAATGCAAAGAAAGCGTAACTAAATACATTTTTTATGCAAATGCGGAAATGCATCCTTCAGATTGTTCGATCTAACGTGATTATTTATTATCTTATAGATTGATTTATACTCAAAGTTTATTAGACTGAAAGACTTTACTTGTAAATAAAACTAACTATCACCCTTCTCAAAACCTGTGGAACAACACCCTAACGCAAGTTCGCCCCTCATTAAGTCCACTAGGTGTGGCCGTCTGGATGTTACTAATCCCTGGAACCTTGTATAGCTCAAATGAGCCCAGCGCCTACATGACTGGTTACTGGGTGAGAAATTACCCCTTGATTTTGATTTGGAATTAATTTTACAATACTTACAACATCCCGTTCATCATCATCATCTTCACCGTTCTCGTCATTTAAGCTTTCCAGTGCTTGTTCTTCCTCTCCCTCTACTAAATACTCGGCGTTAAAGGTGCCACGTGATACCACTTCGTCGCCGTCCGCTTTTCGGCTGGAATTACCATTGACCTCCTCTTCCTCTCCCTCATAATCTCCGTTCTCCTGGCCAAGCTCTTCAACACCGTCCCCTGTGTTATCATATTTACGGCCGCTTCGATTGCTCTGGCGGCGATCGCTAGCTCCCGGGAACTCGCCGTTGTGATCGTTTCCATATTCAACCTCGTAATCTGTTATGGCGGCGAGATGTTCATGCGCCGGATCATCCTTTTGTTGTTGTTTTTTCCTTTGGTATCCTTGTAGCAACTGCTGTCGGGCTAACTGTTGCTGCTTTGTTACAGGTCTTAGGCCGCCGCCGCCTTCCTGTCGCTGCTTTCGCGACTTACCCACTGTGAGGGACGAAGCTGTTTTGCGATTTCCATAGCCCAGAGAGCTTTCGGCTGTCAAATTATTTGGACTTTTGGCTGAACGTTGACTTCCGGGATCGAAATCTTCATCTAGATCTTTCTCATCTTCATCTAATACCTCATCTGCCAGAATCCGCTCTAAATCTTTTTCCAATTGTGATT